AGAAGAAGAAGAAGAAGAAGAAGAAGAAGAAGAAGAAGAAGAAGAAGAATCCTATACATCTGCAATCACCACATCTGTGAGAAGCAGAATAGAATCTCACTTTCAGATTTAAGGAGAAAGGAATTACAAGTAAGAAAGTTATAGAGGATCTCTAAATGTCCTCACTTCATAAATCCCTGCACAGATTTAGCTCTCTCTCCCTCTGTTTATTCAAATATATTTTCAAAATGCACCATTTCTGTAAAAGGCTTAACCCTCAATTTGTTGCTGTTATTATTAATATTAGGATTCCAAACATACATAACTAGATTTGCCTACATTTTACTTCTTTGTCCGTTCTAATTCTTTGTAACTTTCTGAGTTGTTGAAACACAGCCTGTAAGATCTTTGGAACAAGGTCTGGGCAATTTTTCAGTGATTCTTCCAAACACTCTCAAATGCCCCTGCATTGCTGTCTAAAAAGATAATACACCAGCGCTGAGGCTGTAGGGTTCGATTTGAAGCTGCCTCAGTCTGATGGAGCTGTCCTTGGGAGTTGCTGGGTAATCCATACCTGGTAATATGAGGATGTCCACCAGTGGCTTGCAGTGATACAGCCCTGTTGCCATGACGCAGTCCGCCCACAGTCCCTTGGACCCCAACTCGTCCATCTTCCGGCAGGTGGTGATGGTGTATCCACAAGTCACAACCCAGTCATTTGTGGAAGTGGCCACAATCAAGCCAATCCAGCCGACAAAGCTAGCCACAAATCCAGTGAGATGTAAACAAGTGGCAACCATGTTTCTCCTAAGGTGGCTGAACCCTGAAAAGCTGGTGAGCAACAAAGCGAGGGTCTGACTCTTGAATGGTCAGCTAAAGAAATTGAAATCAGATCAGCTGGGACAGAGATGCCTGGCATCTGTTAGCCCAGCCCCTGGGAGGAGTCTGCTCCCACACAGATGGAGGGAGGTGGCTCAAAATGTGCCAAGTTTTGTTCTTTGCTTTGCTTCCCCCCCCTTTGTTTAAACTTCCTGCAATTACACAGTGGGAAAAGAGAGCAAGCTGGAAGAACAACAGAAAGGCAAATGGGGGAATCGAGCATACAAGGCCTCATCCTAAATTAGAAAACTCATTGAGAAAGGACTTGGTGAAACATGAATTAGAGGTCATGCTCGGTTTCAAAAGAAGAGACCACACAAAAGACCGGCTCATTGCTATGACTGTTCTCTGAAGAGTCCTTTCCACAATGTGCAGACACATCGCCACACTTTTTAAAGAGAAAACCGAGGCAGCAAACGTTGGGTGGGGAAAATACAGATCTTCAGGGTCATATCTGCACCCTTTGGAATAGACGGAGGACAGAAGAGTGTGTTGGCTGGAATTTTCAGTCTCTTTTCTGTATTGGGTGAAGTTGGGGTGATGTTAAGGACAAAATGGATGCTTTGGGCTTGGAAGTAGCTTCAGGTACCCAGAGGAATTCCTACAGCACCCCACAGTTGGACTGATTTGTCTCATTTGGAAAGGTTGTGGCAAGCCATGTGCCTTAAGCCTCTGCAACAGTATTTCCCAACCGTGGCCACTTTAAGATGGGTGGACTTCAACTCCCAGAATTCCCCACCCAGCATGGCTGGCTGGGGAATTCTGGGAGTTGAAGTCTACCCATCTAAAAGTGGTCAAGGTTGAGAAACACTGCTCTGCACGTTACTTTATTCATTTCTACCACTCCATTCAGAGCTAAGATTGCTAATTTTACTGATGGGATATTTTTGTAATGGGAGCAGACTAGCGATTATGCATTCTGGTAAACTGGCTTCTGTGCAATTGTACAATGGCGATTAATCTCAGGTTTGACACAGTAGTTTGACACTACTGCCACAATCCTAAGGGAATCCCCTTACAGGACGGGGGGCTGATTTAAGGTTAATTCACATCCCTGGAATAAACAGTTAAAAGTGTGTTCTATTTTAATACTCAGGAGAGATTTTATTTAAAAGTTAAATACTTGTCTGCTAACCTCAAAGGTGAAAAATTAATCTCAGAGAGTGGAAAGCAAAGCCAAGCCTGACAGAATCCGCTTTGTATTCTTCGAGTCAGAATTTTTTCTCCCACGAATAAAACATGCCTGTAGCGACCACTCGTGGAAATGTTTAGCATTGCACTCCAGCTCCTGGAACCGATTTCTAAACCGAGCAGGTTGTATAGAAAGTTGGATCACATAGATTCCCTTGACCTTTTGGCAATCCAGAATAATTTACAGTTTAACATGTAAATGACTGCACTGGGAGAGTACTGTTGGTGCAAGTCCTGCATGTGATCTAAGATAGTTCACTCACACATGCAAGTAATGGACTTAAATGAGCAAGCCAGTTTGGTCTAGTGGTGAAGGCCCCAGGCTAGAAAGCAGGAGGCTGTGACTTCTAGTCCCATCTTAGGCGTGAAAGCCGGCTGGGTGGCTTTGGGCCAGTCCCTCTCCCTCTCAGCCCAACCCACCTCACAGGGTGGTTGTTGTGGGGAAAATAGGAGGAGGAAGGAGTATTAAGTATGTGCGCCACCTTGAGTTATTTATAAAAATAATAAAGGCGGGATAATTTTTTTTAAAAAAAATAACATATGTACTTTTGTTAAGAATCCATAAATCAGCAATATTTATGATAGGGGGGCAGGTGAAGCCACCCCTCCATTTACAGTTTTACCCATCTTTGTACAAGTGCTGCAGCCTCCCACTGGAAAATAAAAAAGTTAATAAAGACCAATAAAGGGAACCAGTCTTTATTATTTTTTTCCTTCTTTCCCTCTATGGCTGCTCTCAGGTGCAATCCTGCCTCCTTCGCAGACTTTGACCTGGAGCACAGGAGAAGAGGCGATAGAAAAACAGTCCATATTTCACTGTCTTCCATTTATACCTCTTTTACACACACAAAGTTTTTTCCATATTTTTCTCCTACCATATCAAAAAGAAAACCATCTGTTATGCAAAGAAAGATGAAACAGCTTCATGATACCTTCATGGTAGCTCCAGGGACAGGATAAGCAGATACTTCACCCAGAATTCCTTTGCTCATGTGAGCAGGAACAGCCATCAAGCGGCACTCATTTGCTTATACTAGCCTTCCCCAATCTGGGCACACATCGGGGTGTGTGTAGTTCCCAGAATCCCCTGATCATGTGGCCACTGCTGAGAATTGTGTGAACTGAAGCCCATACACCTGGAATGCACCAAGACTGATTTATATATTCACAGGTAGTCCTCACTTAGTGACGATTGGGACTGGCAACAGAGTTGCTCAGCAGAAAATCTCATGACTGCAACTGAGCTTATGACCTTACTTCCCCTTCAGTTAAGCAAAGCA